GCAGACTCCCCGCCGAGCAGGGAGCCCGATGTGGGACTCGATCCCGGGACTCCAGGATCATGACCTGAGCCGAAGGCAGTCGCTTAACCAACTGAGCCACCCAGGCACCCAGTAGGAGGGTATTTGTAGCCACCTGCCCCAGTGTTAGTCACAGGATGGGCAGTTGGCAAAATAAGTGATCTGGGTGAAAATCCTTGTGTATGTGAATTACTAAACATTTGCCACAGGGAAAACGCCCCTGGAACCTGGATCACACCACACAGTTCAACTCATGGATTCTGTACACAGCTGCTGCCTACTCTTTGCCATCTGGAACACAGGGCCTTCCCATCACTCTCTGTGCTCTTGCCTAATCACTACATGTGAGTTGCCAGTGAACACTTAGGATGGAAACACTGTCAATCATCAGGCCCTGCCCTAAATGAAATGCAACTGGATTTCTTTGCATATCTTTCTGCTCAGAGCCAAAATCAGAGCCTCTGTATAATAGAGTTAGTGGGCACTGGGAATGGGGAACAACACTTCATTTCAGAGGTTTGCAGAAAGGTTGGGGGTGGGGGTGGAAAGGCACTGGACCTGGGAGGAAGGGGCTGGAGGAATAGGTCACAGAACCGGGAGTTAGTTCCTGCCCTGTAGTGACTTGCTAGGGGACCCTAGGGAATCACTTCTGCTCTCTGAGCTTCCGTTTCCTCATCTGTCAAACAGAGTTTTAGTCTTTGCATTGTCTTCTGGCCATCTGCAGTGAAACTCAGAAATTGCTAAAACACGGGAGTAATAAGGTGAGTAGGTTAATGTTGCTGACTTAAAAGAAATGTGCAAAATATTTTTATCAGTAAAGGAAGTAATAATGCTCTTGGTTTACTGTTATGGTCTGATTTTTTTTTTTAAGATTTTATTTATTTGAGAGAGGGAGAGTGAATGAGAGCACAAGCCAGGGGTAGGACAGAGGGAGAGGGAGGAGCAGACTCCCTGCTGAGCAGGGAGTCCGATGTGGGACCTGATCCCAGGACTCTGGGATCATGACCTGAACTGAAGGCAGACGCTTAACTAACTGAGCCACCCAGGTGCCCCTGTTATGTCTGAATTTATTGCTCTGTCTGAATTTAGAGGCTTAGATCAGGAAAGTTGTTATCAGACTGACAAAATTCATATTTGGGTCATTGCCCATGAAATGTGTCAGCATCTAATGGGTGCTAGGCCCTCTGTTTGATACTGAGGATCCAGAGTTTCTGCCTCATGAAACTCATACCTTGAAGAAAACAAATTTTCAATGTATAGACTCATCAGATGGAGCAGTCAAGACATTTATCCACAAGAATAAAAGGAAACCAAGAAATGAAGTGGTCATCTTTGTAGGGAAGGACTACGTAACCTGTCTCCTTAATTATGACCAAGCTCATTCGAGGCCATGTCCCTCAGAATAGTTGCTGCCTTGATGGAGGGCATAGAAAAGAAACTTGGAAAAATAAACCATTTTTGAGTGAGGTAAAACAGGAAAAAAACCCATAGTTAATTCAACTCCAGAGTATTGGCTTCGGTGAGGGTGAGCATCGTAGGTTCCTGTAGTCAAGACAAATATCTCTTCAGAGTTAAAACAGGAATCAGAAATCCTTATGACAAATGAAATTCAAATTTTTAGAGAGGTACAAGCAAATGGCATAGTTACAGAGGAAAAGCAGTAGTTAACATGGGGGACAGATGGGAATCAGTGAAGATTTTACAGAGGAGTTGGCACTGAGTGAAGCCTTGTAGGATTAGTATTACAGCAGATAGAGGAGGAGAGGGGCTGGGAGAACCATCTAGTCAAGGCTCAGAGGTATGAAAATACATGGGGTATGGGGAAATGCAGGGGGAGATGAAGCTGGAAAGATAAATTATGTTGAAATGTGGACGACCCAGTCTAGTATGACACATGTGAGGCGCCTGGGACACAAAATTTAAGGAGGCATTCACTCTTAGGGTCAGACAAGTGCAGGGTCAGACAAGTGCAGGGTCAGCACGGTGGCTATGGTCATCAAGTAGAGGATTGATTTCAGAATCTCCCATATGAGGAACTTCTGCTTCTGGGAAGATGGAGTAGATACACGTTTTTGTTATGCTTTCTATCAAGTGCAACTAAAAATCCTGGACATTATATGGAAAACAAACACAAGACCCTGACAGGTGGAGGGAAGAAAACAGACAAGTTGGAAACTTGAAATCCAAGGAACATGGTGGTGAACTCCCTGGGTTTTGTTTTGCCTCATATTTCCAGACTTGGAGATGAAGAAGCCAGCCACCGGGAAACACCAATGGGTGCAGACAAAAAAGCTCCCAAGAAAATCCTGCTGTCTCTAACCAAAGGACCAAGAAGAGGGGAGCCTCACAAGTCAGGGAGCCTATATTCTAGTCAAATATCCCAGAAAAAAACTGGGATAAAACCACCCCCAGACCAGCCTTTCCCCCAGCCAAGACTAAGTGGAGAGCCTAGACTTTCACTCTCACCAGGCTATGGAGTTGTCCCAAATGGCCCCTTCCTGCCAGAGTAGTATCAGAGAAGACTGGGTGATAACACCCCACCTCCCCAATCAGTGGAGATCTTGGGAAGTCTGAGCTTTCACCCTGACCCAGTGGAAATGAGGTACAATTCACCTAACTGCTGGGCTGGCATCAGAGAAGGCTTACTGGAAATTCAGGACTTTCACCATCAACAGCAGCAACAGGGTCACCTCTACTGTGGTTTCACTGGAGACCAAAGAATGAGGAGATTTTTCTGCAGTCTTCACTGTAAGAACCTCATTGAGCTCCTTGACGTAAAATTCATGGAAAGTGGCTCTCCCCCTCAACCTTGAAAAACCTGGGCCCCCAGGATTTTTTTTTTCTTCTCATGCTGGTCTTCCTTCCACCTCCAACAGTTTATCACTTACCATTTTATTCCTACCAGTTGCTGGCTCCAGCAGTGGCTTCTGATCCTGAGAAGCTGTGATTCTTTATATTCATCTGTCTCTTCACTTTTGGGGTTTCTGTTTGCTCTGTGACTTCAGTTCTCTGGTCAACCTGGGAAGACATGTTGATTATCAAGTTTGTTCAGCTTTTTTCTTGTTTTGAGGGTGGCAGCTCCCAAGCTCTTCATATGTTGTAGTGGAACTGGAATTTCTGTGCTCATTTTTATTCATTCTTTTTTCTTTCTGTTCCTCAGACTGGATAATCTCGATTGATCTATCTTCGAGTTCACTGATTAGTTCTTCTGCTTGCTCAGATCTGCTGTTAAGCTCCTCTAATGAATTTTTTTCAGTTATACTTTCCAACTCCAAAATTTCTATTTGTCTCTTTAAAAAAATCATTTCTCTTCATTGATGTTCTCTATTGGAGACATTATTCTCATACCTTAGTTCTTTAGACATGGATTCCTTTGAAAATATTTTAAATAGTTGATTTAAAGACTGTCTAGTAGGGCCAATGTCTGGGCTTCTTAGGGAAAGTGTATTAATTGCTTTCCTTTACCTTTTATCATTCATACTTCTCTTTGTTTTTCTTCTTTCTTTCTTTCTTTCTTTCTTTCTTTCTTTCTTTCTTTCTTTC